TCTTTCTATAAAGATAATAATAATATTTAATCCAAGATAATTCTGTACTCTTATTCCATGAGGAGGCCATTGACCTATTACCATTGGGTAAGCCTTCTTGTATATCGTATAAGGACATTTAATTAATATAATGTAAATTGTTGTACCTCACCTCACGTAGTACCGAGGCTAGAAGGCCTCCTTATCTGCATGGCAAAGATATCCAACCCATTCACAGCTTTGAAACCACCTCAATGAAACTTTACTTATGAGCAATGAGGCTAAGAGGCACGAGTCCTAGGCCCATCCTCTCCGCCTTGCTGATGTTCTGAGTTTCGAGGCACGTAGCGTTGAAAGAGTCTGAAGACCCTCCACCTAGTGCCCACTCACACAAGGGAAATCCTAAATCTAGGTACGATATCTTTTAGGAATGATTGCTGGGATGCTAATAATGAGTATAAACATCAAGTCTTGTCAACAAAAGTGATGACTCCATGTAAGCATTGAGTGTACCATAGGCTAGCGATCAAAATCGATGCATATGATTAGATACTTAAATTAAAGAGATGAGGTCATGTGTACTTCCATCCAAGGATCACAATTTCATTTGTAACACTATAAATATTCCCTCTAATGTAACAAAGAAGAGGATAATGCAACTCTTAACACTACAAATTACTCTTGTTCTTCATTCTTGTAAATTACATGTTTATACAACCACAAACTCACGTCATCTAGCTTTTGATCGAGGTGTTTGCTATTTCATAATCACTGTTCTAAAAGGTTGCATTGGCTGTGCCTAGGCATCACCAATGCGCGATGTCTGGTGGAAATGCGAAGTCAAGTGGCTTATCACCTTAATTAGTGGTCAACAACAATCGTTGACCGTTAATGCTTGCCTAGGCGTGGTTATGCGAGTTTAGGCGCGCATAATTATTTTTTTATATTTTAATTTTTTTAATTTTATAATTCTTCTAAGTTAAAACTTCAGTGTTGGTTTCTTCACTTCGTCGATTTTAAATTCAAAATAGTTACTTAAGGCCTTAAACAAAGGAAATCTCCCAAAAATTCCTATTTATTTACTATTTAATATTTATATTTGGAACTTATCTTTTTGTTGAAAATTTTAAAAAAATGTATGAATTTCCTATAGTTTGTTTTAGATGTTTGGCAAGTATTATTTTTAATTATTAAACCATTTTTTGATTAATTAAAAATTAAAATATGAAAATGCATTTTCATGCTTTTTTACGTCCATGTCTCACCTAAACTAGCCTAGTCCGTAGCTTGTCCTCCATGCATCACCACCGAATATGCCTTTTAGAATACTGATAGTAATACAATCGTTTCACGAGTCTATCGCTAGAATCCGGACACATTTGATTCATGATGTTGAATTTCCTTTATATTCACGCTTTCAGAGTACTGTCGGCCAGAAACTTGTGATCACATGTCGTAATCTACCCATGTGTACGCAAGTGGGCCCGACATCTATTGTTTACGTTGTCCTTACAAAAAACGAGGTTAACAGATTAGCGCGTCTGTAAGAAATAAGAACATAGCCGTGAAACCCCTCGTGGAAAAAGCTTATTGTTAAAAGTTGGGCATCTCCCTCGAAAAAGGATTTGTTCTTGGAAAAGAATAAGAAGAAGCCAAGAAAGTTGGAACAGATTTGAGCATTCTTAGGTTAATAAAAGATGAGTTATGATCGTGATGTCCCCCTAGGAGAGTAAGGGAAAACACCAGTGAAACTCTAGCAGCAGCAGCAGCCCTAGCCCTAGCCCTAGCACAGACCCACCATCACCACAGATGTGGGGTAGGCGAATGGCCGCTCAACTTACTAGAGAAATAGCTGCCATGGTAGCAATATGAGGTGCATTACAAATCAGAACTTGGTCATGCAAGAGCTATTGACACGAATGTAGGGCCAAGGGGACAGCTAATTCCTCCTTATGTGCCCCCTTAGCCAGATTCACAAGAAGATGAAGTGCAGAGCCAAATGGCCCAACTTTAAAGGCCTGCTAGCGAAACATCCCCATGGAAAGAGAAGTATGAGTGGATTTTTCCTCCAATTATGCTTCGGGTCGACTATTTAGAATGGAGGATAATTTTTCGCCAGAATATGAGCTAAAGATCAGGCCAGAAAGTCCAGTAGTATATTTGATAGAATCAATCCTACAAAATCGAGGCACAAGTAGCCTCAAAGGCCCGCAACATCCCAAAGTTGGCTACAACCCCTACATCCAACGACTTGGCAACTGGAGAAAAGGCAAGAACATGTCCCTCGTGTTGCCCAACCCAAAAATAGGCGTCATAGAAGGGAGGAGGAGGCTGTGAATCAAGTGGGTTTTATTTTTGTGTGTGTGGGTTTTATTTTTTTTTATCACAAACTATTTTTTATTGATTAAATCCCAACAATGCAAAATGGAAAAATTAAAAACATGTCTATGATTCATCTATTTAATCAAAACAACCATCTAACGTGCAATGCTATGCATTCTTCCATCCAAACTTAGTAAAAGCATAAATAGAGTATTAATGGATGCATAGAAGCAATTTCAACTAATGATTTATTTTCATATATCCATTTTTGTACTTCTATTTGGAAACATATTGAAAATAGGGTCATCATATTAAGAGAAATAAAAAAATAATTTTACCTCATATATATTTTGTAACGAGTCAACCTCTAAACTTAAGCCGTTAACTAATTATATACAATCCTATTTAAGAAAGCATGTGTCATTTTATCCCTCACGACTTTATGTTACTTTCCTCGGCATTTGAATGCAAGACCTCTATCTTATAAGAGACTTTGTATAATGTATATGTGTATATATATACATTCAGGGACGGAACTAGAAAATGTGTTTAGTGCGGGCATGCACGGCCCAGCCCGTCCCCTTCAGCCCAAATGTCCATTAAAAAAAAAAAATTTAAGTAAAATTTTTTTTTTATGTGCAGTATTTTTTTTATATGTATTAGCCCGTGTTGAATTTTCTTTGGATCCGCCACTGAGTGCGGACATAATTTAACTCATGTCGAACATTGTGTTTTAGTCATGAATTTAATGATCATAAAACTATAAAACAAAATCATGGGTTTGGGCCTAAAAATAAAACCTATGTAAAGTAAAACATATTTTTATTCCACCTCCCCTGTTGCTAAAAAAAAAAAAAAATGATTTGGGCCTAAAATGCCCGCACTCGTCTCAATGTGGCTCCTCCCATGTATACATCTATATTGTTTTAAGTGTCAATTTAGTATAAATATATACTTCTATGCCCGCACTCGTCTCAATGTGGCTCCGCCCATGTATACATCTATATTGTTTTAAGTGTCAATTTAGTATAAATATATACTTCTTCAGAAAATTTAAAATCATTATTTTAAAAGATTTAATGGATATATAAAACTTCATAAATGATAATCTATATCTGATTTCTAAAAAATAAAAATAAAAGTTTTGTAAGAATAAATCATACTTTCGTGAAATATAGCAATTGGTGCAAATACTACTGAAAGTTCACAAATCTAGAATTTTAATTTTGTTGACAAAACTTGAAATTCTGCAAAGAATCGAACATAAAAAATTCTGTCCGAATTTGCACCAAGGTAATAGTTCGGTAGATGCAATTATGGTCATTTTTTTATAATAAAAATTTTGTTCAATAAAATTCACTAGAATTGGTTCGTGATCACTAATCTAATTGTATGGCAAAAAATAGATTTCACAAAGAATTCTTTGTGCATGGCAACTAATTATTATTATTATTATTATTATTATTATTATTATTATTATTATTATTTTGCTTGCATTAAGGCAAAGAGAAAAAAGATAAATTCAAGTTCGCGCTGATAATTAATGTGTTATAAATTAGAGAGAAAAGTGAAGAAAATAAAGAATAAATAAATTTATGTGTATTTTAATGAGAATTAAAAACTCTTTGTCTATGAGTAAAAATTAAGAGCCTATTTGGAAATGATTTTGAGAATTGATTTTTTGACCGTTAGAAAAAAGAAGGTGAGGTTCACCTATGAGAGAAGAAGTCAAATATGATGATTGAAATAGTGAAATAATGGTCAAAAAATCAATTTTTTAGGTGAAAAAAAATCACTCCTAAACATGTTGTAAGACTACAATGTTGCAATAGTCAAGAAAAACTAATGGGATATGACGCTGATTCAATAATTAATAAGGAGAAACACAACCATGGTCTCAAATCTTTTATTTATTGCAGATATTACCCAAATTTTTAGTTTGTGACACACATAATCCCAAACCTTTGAAATGGGTGCACCAAAAGTACATATTGACGAAATTGTTAGTTCAACCATCAATTGACCAATACAATTTACACTTTTGGCGAATTAGAGTAATTTTAAAATGGAAAATCTGTAATTTACAATTATAACATAAAGTAATTAAAATAAGAACTAAAAAGCTGAAAAAAATAAGAGAGAGAGAGAGAGAGAGAGAGAGAGAGAGAGAGAGAGAGAAATGTATCAAGAATTGGATTTGGTCGATAGGATTCTAAGGCTTGTTGGTGCTCTAGCGACGAATGTAAATACATTAAAGTTTTAGTACAAATCAAGGTGAAGGGAATTTAATACATTGAAGGCGAATAAAGTATATCGGTGGATGCTATGGTAGTGGTGGGTGGCGGAGTCACTGCTTTTGTTTTGGGTTAGGTGAGATGAAGAATAAAATATTTTTTTTATTTCTTTTCCCCTTTTTATAATTTTTTAAGCTTTTCTATTTTATCTTAAATATTTATGTTGTAATTGTAAAGTTACAAATTTGTACTTTTAAAGTGAGTCAAAATAGAAAAAATAAATGTCAAAAACAAATTGTGGCAATTGACGGCTTAGTTTGTCCTTCTGATGCACCTATTTCAAAGGGTTGGGACTGCAGATAGTACCAATTAAAGATTTGGGTGAGGTATGTGATAAAATGAACGGTTTGGGATCATGATTACAATTCTCCCTAATTAATATTTAATCAACAAAATGAATTTTTTCCTTTCGACGTCGGTGGGCGGGCCATTGGGCTTTTCGTATCACGGTTAGTGGAGACACGACAGAAAAATCTGCCCGCACCATTTCTGACTCTGCGATCCGGCACCAGGTAAGATTTATTTTCTCCAATTGTATTAAGTGTGATTTTTAACTGGATATCTTCTATTTCTATTGTTTGCCGATGAATTGTTGGATTTTTTTTTTTGTTAATTCATCGCGGACTTAATTTTCATGTAAGCATTAGTTTGTCTTCACAAACATAGTTGAGTTTTCGATTGCACCTAATATCTTCCCCAATTTCATTAGGACATATTTGTTCTTAAGTAATTAATTAATCTGGTTTTAATTTTTTGTTACTCTCGTTTAATATTTATTATTTTCTACTTTATTGATTTATTTTATGTTGATATGCTAGTGAAGCTTTAGTTTATGCAATTGATCATTATGGTTTTTCCAGATGGTTTATTATGTGTACTTTTTTATATTTTTCAGAATTACATTATTGGTTTGAGTGTCATATTTCATTATTATTATTATTATTATTATTATTTTTATTTTTTTATTTTTTTGTTTCCTTCTCTTGTGGCATTTCTATGTATGTATGTTTTATTCATGTGCGCAGTACATATGTAGGTAGATATATTTTATTCTGTATGAGGTTTACAACCAGCCAAAACTTTCCCGCATATGTGAGTTCTACTTAATTCAGTGGTTTAAGGCTTTAAGCTCCACTTGCTCTAGTGGAGGTCATGCCTTACTTTATCTGTTTCCGCAGGCCATGGGAATCTTGGAGCCTTGGGTGTCATTCGTGTAAATCTTGTTTGCTGATAGCATTTATTTTTCCTTGTTTTCTGCAGTTGTTTGTAATGTTAAATGGGATTCTTGCGGCTGATTTAGAAGCCATTTATTTGGTTGAGCTGGAATATCAAGTTCAAGTGTTTGACTCCTTCTGATTGTAACTGTTCTGAGCAGGAACTTCTTGTGATTAAAATGGCTACATCTTCGTTGAAAGAATACTTAAAGAAATATACCTGTAATAGCGAAGAAGAGAAGAAAAAGAAGAAGAAGAGAAGGCCTAAACCTGCTGCCAAAGGTGTCGTTGTTGTTGATGAAGATCCTGTTTGGCAAAAGCCAGTTGACCTTGAAATAGAAGAAGATTCAACAGGTAACTTAAAAACAAAGTTTTCATTGTATAAAGTACTTATACATTCTTGAATCACACCTCAATTTGTTAAATAACTTGAGGTCTATGCAGATGAAGAGAAGCCACAAGTTGATGAGGATATTGAAATCAAACATATGAAAAGACTAGAGCAACTTAGAATGAGACGGCCTTTTGGTGCCATTTCTGAGGATGGAAGTGGTTGGGTTTCTGTAGGTGATAATCGTATACGCATGAGTTCTGATGATCAGAATTCTGACAGTTCTCCAGCTCGCAAAAGCAGGGCATACGACAATACCACTCTAAAATTGGAGCGAAAGGAATTCAGTGCAGTAGATGCTGATTTATCTCCGCCGAGGCAACATCGTAAAATTTACCAGCTTGATGACCAAAATTCTGATATTTCCCCACCTCGCAAAAGGAGGGCTCGTAACACCAGTTTATCACCAAAACATGAACAAAAGCCTTCCACTGCTGCAGATATAGATTTATCTCCACCACGGCAGCGCCACAAGCGATATCAAAGTCCTTCTTCTCAACCTCAAATAAAAGTACAATCTTCTGGAGGCCGGAGAGCTCGCTATGATACACCTTCACCAGAACGCCTTTCTGAAGCTTTGAAGTTGAAAGGAGATATCGCTGATTTGTCCCCACCACGGAAGCAATGGACTGGTAAGCTCACTCCATCTGAATAGAAATATTGCACATTCTGAACCCGTGTATTCACTTAATGGGATGTTTCATGTGCATTGTATATAGGAGATATTTCACCTCCAAGGAAAGGCGAGAAGGATACATTTATTTCCACTGATGTCTCTGCTAGAAAATCAAGTCACAAATTTGAGGACGATGCTTCGGATTTTGCATCTCAGGTTTCAGATCTTTCTCCTCCAAGGAAGAGGCGGAAAGGATCGTTGCATTTGACAGAGGAGCCAATGACTGGTTTAGTTAGTGGGCAAGATATCAAAGAAGAAATATCTAAAAAGAAAGAGAGTGATTGGTTGAGGTAATATGTAAACCCTCTCTCTCTCTGATTTATACATATGAATCTTGTGCATCCTCTTCCCTTTCATATGCTTACCAGTTTTAATTTCTCAAACGTACATGGATTTAGGTATAGAGAGATGGATCCTACTGTGAGTGGCCGAGATGCGGAACCCGTGTATCGCAACAAAGTAACAGGTCAGAAATCGGCTTTTCCTCATTTCATTAGTTGTTGAACTCAGACATACAGCATATACTCACTACATGCTATTGTAGGAGAGCGAATGTCAAAGGATGAGTACTTAAAATCTCAGAAGAAAGTGCAGAAGAAAGAAGAAAAGCCCAAGGTGCTAATACTGTTTATTTTTTTTAATGGACCAAATTTATACTTAGAACGCACAGTTGAAGCCCATGACATAGATATAAAGTTTAAATTAGTTCCACCCTTTGTATCGGTGTGGAATAGGTTGAGCTTGACTCTAATAATCCATACTTGTAGCAATGAAATACTACTATTCCTCCTCCAAGTGATAAATGATTGATTACAAATATCTATTATATATCTTCTCTATAAAGGACCAGAGATACCTTGTTTACGTATCATTGGAAAGTGCATTAACATAAATACGACAGTAAGAAGTGGCAAATCTTTGTCAAGACTGAGCCAGCCTGTGAGTGATTCGTCGAGTCAATGTGAGAGTTGGCTAGATAGCTTTTCATTTTTATAATATTATATTAATTAAATTAGCATATTTAATTATTTCACAGATGTCATTAATCTTACTTTTGTCTTTTATTATTTTGGTGGGAAACTTAAAAGCAGTCATATTCTCCCAGGCATGAGCTAGAGTTTGAAATTTTTGATTTTTTCCTTAGGCAGCCTTAAGCATCAGAATATTAATTTTACTTGGTCTTGAACATGAAAAATTCCCCAGTATTTGGCTTGGCTTGTTTGTAGTCCTAGCTGTAGTCTTTTAATTGGTAATATCAGGAAAGCTGTGGTGCTAGTGATATATTGGTGTATCTTGATACTATATAGCTATATATAGTAGACAGAGGATGCTGACTTGTGAGTCTGTGATGGTAAAATTCAATTTAATGATGAAGAGAGAGTAGATAATTCTGTCATCCGAAACTTGTACGAGACTTTGATCTCACATGGCTCTTAATATACTTTCTGATCAATCAAAACCCTTCCCAAACTGGACAAGCTTCTTGTAAATCATCTAATCTTCTGGATGCAGATGATATCTATTACTACTTAATAGTATATGAAACCAATAGATCATCCTTACTCGTTAGAAATCGGACAAGCAAGGAAATTTCTTGTTTGACTTTTGTTCTTGAAAACTAATAGACCATAGTTCCAATAAATCATATTATCTGCTAAGGCATTTACAGTGGAAGAATAGCCCCTTTTGGTTGCTATCCTTTTCACATAGTGAGGCGAGCTATGCTAGTGTCTCTCTCCTTTTCCTAGCCTTCACTGATGCAAACCAACAGGGATTTTTGCAAAAATGTGATTGTCAGGAGATGGGGAAATAGCATTTTACACTCTGCTATCTTACAGACAAATACAATCAACATAAAGAAACCTATCAACTAACTCTTACATTTGGCAATCCCAATTTATCCAAATTGATGAGCCCTATGACTTGGCCTTATAGATCTCCTAGTTAAAGTATCATAATTGTTTTCTCCCTATCTACTTATTAGCAAGAATCTTCAATCGAGTTTCCTCCCCTCAAGATATGTGTTACTGCATTTTATTTTTTCTGGTGACTGATTTCTTCTATTAAGTACTGAATATGCTAAGGACCTGCATCATTTTCATTAAGGATCTTTATGGATGTTAAAGAATCAACCTCTGCCCAAACTCGTTTAAAGCCCTGATCTCGACACAGTGTTAGACTTGTACCCTCTTAATTCTACTCCCAAGATCATTGAGGGCTTTAAGCACCTTCCCTTCATGATTTCTAATAACTATTCGTCTCATGCTGCTGGAAGGATCCCATGTTTTAGACCTCCTTGTATGTTTAATTTCATGGTCCTAATTTGTGGTTTCCACTATTGAGCGAAATTGTACGAACCTCTGGGATTATTTATTTATTTAATTGCTTTCCATATGGCATACCATTCTTCTAGATTTGATGGCCAAATATGAATCCAGCTAAACTCGTGAGGGTCAACAGATGATCTACTCTTTTGATCACTCTCATGGCTTGCATTATAATAACGAAATGCTTAGAATTGTTTCTCTTGATCCATAAAACCAAAATATTAGAAGGGGGATAATAGTTTGGATATAGCCAGGTCTAGATTGACAAATAAATCTCCAGAACTAGAATATTTTTATAGGATGCTTAAAGTTAGGGGTTGTTTCTGAAGGATCTGGTTAAAATGGTCCCATACTCTGCTGCCACTGCACCATTTAAAAGCACATGAGCAGTGATTTCCTCCCCTCTGCAGCATTGGCACATGGAAGCCAAATGTGCATTCATTCTCTTAATTATTTTATCTACAAGAAGCCATTGATGTCACAACTTCCAAATGAAGAATGGAACTTTAGTTGGGATTGATTTACTCCAGATTTTAAAATAAGATTGCATGCTTCTTTTCGTTCTAATTAATCCCCGACGTGAAGCTGTTGAAACTTCCATCATTGGTTAAGGTCCAGAAGATGTGATCAGATCCAGATCCAGACAGCTCAAGGGGATTCCTAGTATTTCATTTATGGTTGGATGGGGCAATACTGCACTCAACATTTTTGAATCCCAGTTTTCACCCTTCTTGTATTCGTGGACAGTAGCGAAGGAATGAGTGGACTGAGGGAACCTAGCTGCCAGTGTTTGTGGCCCCGTTAACAGTTCCAACTTTCCAAAATCTAGTTTTGAGTGATCTCTCCCAAGTAGGGGATTCGGTTGCTTTTATCTAATTAAGAGTGGGAGGTTTGTCTAGGCAATATTTCACCTTCATTATGTTTGCCCATAAGGACCTCTGAGCTTGAAACTTCCACCATAGCTTCCATGAAAAAATGAGACTTGTGCCCTCGATATAGCCAAGTCCTAGCCTCTTGTCTTCTACTGGAAACCACATCTTGTTCCAAGAAGCCTAATGTGTATGTTTAGTATCTGTATTGTCCTCTCATATAAAGCCATTAGATAACCTTTCTAACCTGCGTTGGATGCATGCAGGAGGTTTTAATATCTGCAAAAGGTGAATAGACCTGGGCTGTAGAACGCTTTTGAGTAATGTCAACCCACCATAGCTGAAAAGACCTTACGTTGCCAGCCAAGTAGTGTGCTTCTCACTTTCTGGATTAATACATTGATAAGAATTATTTTTTACACCCCTTTAGAGAAGAACCCCCAGGTATCTAATTGCTAATTGTTGATGCTGGGAGCCAGTGACTTTGGTTTTTATGCCCCTTTAGAGAGGAACTCCAGGTACCTAAATGCTAATTGTTGACGCTGGGAGCCAGTGACTTTGGATGAGATTATCTTTATGTTTATGAAAGTTGTGCTGTGATATGGAGAATGAACTCTTATCATTGTTGATCATTTGGCCTAATGTGAAGTTCACAATTCTCTTGAGTTGGGGTTTCTGCCCATTAGAAAATTTGTCATCAGCAAGGCTGAGATGAGTTTACTTGAATTTTCCCCCATAGGTATCCCCAAAAATAATGCTTCCAAATCCCTAGAGACACGCTGCATCATGTTAATAGAGAGAGAGAGAGCAAAATGGGATCCCCTTGTCTTGTTCCTCTCTCAGATTTAAAGAAGCCTGCTTGTTCAGCGTTAATAATGACAGAAGAGCAACAATTGCTCACACTATTGAATTTTGTCTATCCTGTCCAAATTTGTCCATCTTGTATGGAATTTCCCATGAGACTATAATAGGCCTTAGCCATATCCAATTTTAGAGA